GACAGAGCAAGACTCTGTCTCAAAAAAATTTAAAAAATACAAAAATTAGCTGGGCATGGGGGCAGGCACCTGTAACCCCCACACCCATGATCCCAGCTACTTGGGAGGCCGAGGCAGGAGAATCACTTGAACCAGGGGGGCGGAGGTTGCAGTGAGCCAAGATCACGCCACTGCACCCAGCCTGGGTGACAGAGTGAGACTTCGTCTCAAAAAAAAAAAGAGAAATGTCAATCATGCAGGGAATCCTCTCTTCCTGATGGTGTCAACGTTCAAATTAAGCACACGATGCCCTCAGCAACTTCAGTACGCACCAGATTCCAGGTCCTGGCCATATCTCTGTGTTTTTTCCGATACAGACCAATACAAATGTAAAGTCTTCAAGATGAAAATGAGTGTGTATGCGCCTGGGCACAGTGGCTCACGACTGTAATCCTAGCACTTTGGGAGGCCAAGGCAGGCAGATCACTTGAAGCCAGAAGTTCGAGACCAGCCTGGCCAACATGGTGAAACCCCATCTCTACTAAAAAGACAAAAATTAGCCAGTTGCAGTGGCACATGCCTGTAATCTCAGGTACTCAGGAGGCTGAGGTGGGAGAATCACTGGAACCCGGGAGGCAGAGGTTGCAGTGAGCCAAGATCACGCCATTGCACTCCAATCTGGCTGACAGAGTGAGACCATCTCAAAAAATAAAAATAAAATAAAAATACAAAAAAAAATTACAGGTGATGGTGCATGCCTGTAATTCCAGCTACTCAGGAGGCTGAAGCAGGAGAATTGCTTGAACTCGGGAGGCCGAGGTTACAGTGAGCCGAGATCACACCACTACACTCCAGCCTGGATGACAAAATGAGACTTTGTCTCAAAAAAAAGAAAAGGGCCAGGCGCGGTGGCTCACGCCTGCAATCCCAGCACTTTGGGAGGCCGAGGTGGGTGGATCACGAGCTCCGGAGATTGAGACATCCTGGCTAACACAGTGAAACTCTGTCTCTACCAAAAACACAAAAAATTAGCTGGGTGTGCTGGCATGCACCTGTGATCCTAGCTACTCATGAGGCTGAGGCAGGAGAATCGCTTGAACCCGGGGGGCAGAGCTTGCAGTGAGCCAAGATGGTGCCCCTGCACCCCAGCCTGGGCAACAGAACGAGACTACATCTCAAAAAAAAAAAAAAAGAACCAGTAAAAAGGAACCAGTGAGGACTACAAGTTTCGCCATCAACCACCCACCCTGAACAACAGTTCTGTCTCCCCTCCTGGCCATTGGGGTCCCCACTTCCTGGAACTCTGAGCTGAGTGATGTCATAGATGGATTACCTCACTAGGGCCAAGGAACCGGGAATTTCAGGGACATGGGGGAGGGAGAGGGATGTCTCTCTACCGCCCCAACCCCCCATGTCTGTGGTGAAGTCGATCGAATTAGTGCTGCCCAAGGATGCAATCTACCTGGCTGGCTCCAGCATAAAAGGGAAGATGATTTTAACCCTGAACAGCACCCTGGTGGACCCCATAGTGAAGGTGGAGCTCGTGGGAAGGGGTTACATTGAGTGGAGTGAAGAAGCCGGGGCATCCCGCGATTATAGCAGAAATGTTATTTGCAACAACAAGGCAGACTACGTGCATAAGACAAAGACATTCCCAGTGGAGGGTAAGGACGAGGCCAACAGCCACCCCTAGCCATGACAGGAACCTGGGTCTGGAAAATAAACACATCCAAGAGTCAATCAACAAACCTCCAGGGCTATCAGAAATAGGGAGTGGCCTGATTTCTCCCTAGGAGGGAAGTCATGTAGAACGATGACCATCAGATACACAAAACACGAAAATAACAAGACATAAGGAGCTGATCAGAACCCAGATATTCAAAATGAAGGTTCAAAGTAGTCTCTTTGGAAAATGCTCAGTCCAACAACTGCCTTTAAGAGGCCCCTGAGAAGTCTTATTCTTTTACAGATAAGTTTCACTCTGACAGCAAAACGCCAGGAGACAAAGTAGGCAGTCCTGTATTCATGGGGAAAAGCAGTGGAGGTAGGCCAGGCACAGTGGCTCATGCCTGTAATTCCAGCACTTTGGGAGGCTGAGGCAGGTGGATCACTTGCGGTCAGGAGTTTGAGACTAGCCTGGCCAATACAGCGAAACCCCATCTCTGCCCCCCAAAAAACAAAAATCTAGCCAGGCGTGCTGGCACATGCCTGTAATCTCAGATACTTGGGAGGCTCAAGCAAGAGAATCACCTGAACTTGGGAGGAGGAGGTTCCAGTAAGCCGAGATCGCACCACTGCACGCCAGCCTGGGTGACAGAGCGAGATTCCCTCTCAAAAAAAGATAGTGGAGGTGGAAGAGCAAGGGAGACCTTCCAGGGAAGGAATAACTAGTCCCCAGTTCCACCAGGTCAGACCTGAAATCTGAACAAATGTCAGAGAGTCTGCTGAGCTGTGGGGGGAATTATATGTCTTTTTCAAAATGTGTTTGTGGGGATATTCCCAGATATGATGCAGTCAAGCAGAACATGTGGCCAACGCTTGGCTGAACAAAGTGTAATTTAATTTAACTTATTTATGTATTTATTTTTATTTTATTTATTTATTTTTTTTTTATTTTTTTATTTTTTTAATTTATTTTTTTGAGACGGAGTCTCACTCTGTTGCCCAGGCTGGAGTGCAGTGGCCGGATCTCAGCTCACTGCAAGCTCCGCCTCCTGGGTTTACGCCATTCTCCTGCCTCAGCCTCCTGAGTAGCTGGGACTACAGGTGCCCGCCACCTCGCCCAGCTAATTTTTGTATTTTTAGTAAAGACGGGGTTTCGCCATGTTGGCCAGGCTGGTCTCAAACTCCTGACCTCAAATGATCCACCTGCCTTGGCCTCCCAAAGTGCTGAGATTACAGGCGTGAGTCACTGGGCCCAGCCTTTTTTTTTTTTGAGAGAGGCTCTCACTTTGTCACTCAGCCTGGACCTCTCGGGCTCAAGTGATCCTCTTACCTCAGTGCCCCAAGTAGCTGGGACTACAGGCCTGTGCCACCACACCCGGCTAATTTTTGTATTTTTAGTAGAGACGGGGTTTCGCCACGTTGGCCAGGTTGGTCTCGAACTCCTGACCTCAGGTGATCTACCCACCTTGGCCTCCCAAAGTTCTGGGATTACAGGCGTGAGCCACGGGGCCCAGTCGGCCCGGTTCACGCCTATTATCCTAGCACCTTTGGGAGAGTGAGGCAGGAGGATTGCTTGTGGCCAGACATTCAAGACCAGCCTGGGAAATATAGCAAGACCCTGTCTCCACCAGAAATTTAAAAATTAGCCAGGCAAGGTGGCATGGGCCTGTAGTCCCAGCTCTTCTGGAGGCTGAGGTGGGAGGATCACTTGATCTCAGGAGTTGGAGGCTGCAGTGAGCTATGATCACACCACTGCACTGCAGCCTAAGCGACAGAGACAGACTTTGTCTCTACATAAAGAAAAAAAAAAACTCAAGCCTCCTCAGTAACTGATTACAGGTATGTACTTTTACCACGCCCCAGCTAATTTTTGTATTTTTAGTAAAGACGCGTTTCGCCATGTTGCCAGGCCTTGGTCTCAACTCCTGACCTCAAATGATTCCACCTGCTTGCCTCCCAAAGTTGCTGAGATTGACAGCGTGAGTCACTGCCACCAGCTTTTTTTTTTGTCCTGGAGAGAAGCCTCTCACTTTAGTCACTCAGCCTGGACCTCGCGGGCTCAAGGTGATCCTCTGCCTCAGTGCCGCAGAAGGTACGCTGACTACAGCCTGTGCCACCACGCCTGGTTAATTTTTGTATTTTTAGTAGAGACGGGTTATCACCCATGTTAGCAAGGATGTCTTTGATCTCCTGGACCTCGTGATCCGCCACCTCGGCACTGCAAAGTGCTGCGGATTACCAGGCATGACAGCCACTGGCGCCCACGCGTAGCTTCTTTTTTTCTTAAAGACAGTCGTTCGAACCCAGGAGTTTGTGGTGAGCCGAGATCGCACCAGCTGCACTCCAGCCTGGGCAACCAAGAGCAAAACTCTGTCTCAAAAAAAACCAAAAAAAATAAGGCAAAAAATTAGCCAGGGCATGTTGACTGGACCTTACTACAGGAGGCTGGAGGTGAGAGGATCACTCATGCCAGAGAGGCTGAGGCTGCAGTGAGTTGTGATACCGACCACTTGCCCTGCTAGCTGGGCAACACGGCAAGACCCTGTCTCAAAAAATAAAATACTTAAGCCAAGCATGGCGCTCACCGCCTGTCATCCCAGCACTTTGAGGCTGAGGTGGCAGATCCACACAAGATCAGAGGTTCGAGACCAGCCTGGCCAGACATGTGAAACCCTGTCTCTACTAAAAATACAAAAAATTGCTGGACTTGTTGGATGGGTGCCAGTGTGCACCAGGGCTATCGCACCGCGTGGGAGCTGAGGCAGAAGAATTCTGTGTTGAACCTGGAGTGGAGGCTGCAGGAGCCGAGATCCACCGCTGTTGTAGACCTCCCAGCCCGGA